CCCAGGTTTGTGTCCAGTACTACAGTACGCATGAACGTGTTTGCTCATGTCCTTAAAAATGCTGAGTTCCTCAAAGAAGTCGGGACCCTGTGTTGACGACAAATCAATGAAAAGCGTCAGATAGTGATCGAAAACAAAAATTGTATTTTAACCTTGAATCTATTCCGATACTTATAAAACAAGGATACGATTACTATATACCTTAAATAATGACAATTTCAAAAAAGTGGGTTCAGAAATACGAATCATCACTTGTTATACTCATACTTGTTCCGCAATTTGTCGCCACAACGATCTGTTAAAGGTGTCATACAGTAGATAATCCACGGCTTTCCAACGTCGGAGATTAGCAAGCTCTTCTTCAGTCGGGTCATATATTTTGAATGGATACGTTCTGTTATTCTTAGTCAGAACAAGAACGTCTTGGAGGTCCCAGCACATCACACGTTTGAGAAGAACGAGGGACTCGTCCAGGTAGTCAAGCAGCATTATGAGAGTGAAGTCAGCTTCTAGTTCTTTGATGTAGAGACGAGCTCTCTCCTTTGAAAAATAGATAAAATAGATCAATTTGATTTTTATTCAGTGACGAGACCTCGGTGCTCCAGAGATCCGGATGGCATCTGCAGGTGAAGAGCTCGTGTGGACAGTCAGACTGCTTCTACGGCTCATGAAACAGGTAGATATTACAATATAGCCCCCGAACAAAGGTTCTGTCCATTTTGTCCAAAGCATATAGAAAATGAATTTCATGTTGTTATGGAATGTACCAAATATGATGTTATACGTAACAAGCTATTTACAGTTCTCGAATCAAGTACCTTAGATTTTAAGAGTCTTGATGTTGGAGACAGATTTGAATATATCTTTACATGTAACGGTCCCCACAACGCAAAAATAGGTAGATATATAAAGGAATACTTTGCTATTAGAAAAAATACCGAAACTTGTGATAAGCCCACTTGATTGTAACACTTTATTAACGACTTGTGATATCCCTTATTATTTGAATGATTATGATATAGATATATGTTAGGTTTTATTCGACATTAGGTCTTATTCAACACACTTATTTTATTGTTGTTACCCTCTTTATGTAGTTTGCCAAGCAATGTACCATGTGCATTTGTCGTGCAATAAAGTTCTTCTATCACCTAGACGGTCTGAGAGTTGATCCATGATGAAAAGAAAATTAGAATAAATTTAATGCACTGGCAGTGAAGTATCGGAAACTATGTATCAATGTTATTTGATACAGGATGAAGCTCTTTATAATGGTATGCCACGGGATTTAACCAACAAAGCAATCACAACTGTTGCAACCCATAAAGTCTGAAATTGATCGCCATTATCTAGCAGTATGGACTTTTTCACCCGTTAAAGGCATTACAAGAACAATGGAGCTATCTGGTGACTAAATGTTTAAAAGAAAAACTACATCTCGTTGGTCTTATACCTTTGAAAAAAAAATCTCATTACAATCAATTTCCTGTTATCGTTTTAACCCTATCTATACCGGGCTTTTTGGGGCTTGGTGGGACCGGGGGGGGCTCATTTGAGCCCCCCTCAGCACTCGCGAATGGTATGTCGTATGACCACCAAATTTTCAGAGGATGGTAACTTTATCATACCTACAGCTTTTATGTCGTTATGACGTAATATGACGTCATTATGACGTCATTAATGTGATTTTATTGGCCAAAACCCTCTAATTGTCCTGAAAACTAAATGGTATACAACATAACATTCATTTCCAAAAGTGTCTATGACAGAAGATTAGGGTGTACTAAGTCTTATATTGTATCACTAACGGTTAGTGATTTATTATTGTAGCAATTTAAACAAAAGTACAAAAGTAAAAAAAAAAATTCTGTGTGTCTGCCAGAAAACAACCCCCTCTGCAATAGTATGTATCAGACCCAAACACCATAGAGAACACACGAGAAGTTTCAACACCGTATCGACAACGCTATCTAGCGACAATTAGTAAAATGGCAAATCTGGTAGGCAGAATGGCCCGTTGCTGCCCGGCTGGCTTGTAGCTCCCAATGTTTGTCTGCTACGCGCGCCGAAATGACAAAAAAAACTATTGGAAAACGATTTTTATGTCACAAAATGCCAAAATCCATTCCAAATGACACGGAGAAAATGTAAAGGAATGAAACTAAAGATTCTTATTATTCACCATACGAATAAAATAGTACGCCTTGTGTGTACCTTTATGACCACCTAGATTTCACAATAAAGTTAATTTTTTTGCGAAACTTTTTTTATTCGCAAGCTTGCAGCAGTCTGGGGGTTCACAGAGGATGCCATCCATATTATCAAATCAACATGACCTAAAGCAAGAAAAGAGGAAAAATATCACCTCCTTGTCATTATAAGTGGCCAGTGTAAGTAAAGATACTAGTAATGGTTATCCTCAGCAAACTATGGATTGCAAATCTTTTTTTATGGCGTGATAAGTATTGTGCAATAGCATTTTGTCTATTTTGCATAATCTTGAAATTTGCCAACAACTCATTAAGGTACGATAAAACATTGCTAAGAATGTGGGACATATACATTAAAACCCAGGTATATTTTGCATATAAACGGTTGTCCTTTCCCTGTACGTGTGATCTGTCCACACTTCAATCATGCAAAGGTTTGCCATGAAAGCCATTTGGTGAATAAAAAAAAGTTCACTACAAAAGTTGGATTAGATAGGCTATTAAATAGATACCATGTCCTCCGCTGCTTCAGCAGGGTATCCCAAGTCAAAGGACATGAAGTTTCTTGTTGGGTCGAAGATAAGATTGCGGTGCGGAAAGTAGGCCTCAGACAGGTTCTTGAATTTCCACGGATCCTCCAAAAACGTCTTCATCGGGTTGGTAGACCGCATTTTAAGGAGTGTTTCAATGTTGTAATAGTTCATGGCCGACCTTAATTGTTTGCTTGGCTCTCGTATGATAGCTGTGAGTGAAATAAAAATTAGGCACAATAAGTACAACCATCCCTCAACAGAGCCGGGGTCACCACAGACTTTCTTTTTTATAACCACGGAGGTCAAATTCGGGCCCCAATGTCCCCGGTATGATGTCGTCATTCGAACCGAACGGCGTTCGATCTGGGGTCAACCGAGGTCATTTACAGTTTTTCAGGCCCTTTTCATACAGAAAAGTACCTCCTAACAGAAAAAATCACAATGTCACAAATACAAACCGTTTCCTGGACAGTACATGTACGCTTATCATTTTGATGTGGACATAAAACATATAGCGAAGCTACTGTCGTATTCGTGGGTGATCTTGAATATTGTAATGATTCTTCACGCTAGTATGAATACTCTGGTAGGTCCGTTGAACGATTGATCAACGGTCCGTTGAACAATCGAAGAATCCATTGAAGGATCCATTGACCCATTCTCCCGAGCCAACTCATTACGTTTGCCAGCCTTTGGGCTGGCAAACGAAGAAAGTGGGCCACCATCAGTCTGTGCATTCGCACTCAATACCAATCTAACTGCCGCCGTGCAGATAAATATCACATTACATTATAATATTATTATACTCCTAAACTAACCACTAGGTAGTAAATATGCATTTTCATTGAGGCGAAAATTAAGCGTTTTTTTTACGAACTACGAAGAACTGCTTAGGGTTACTTACATATGTATGCTGTGTTGGCTGGAAACTTTGACCGTATCCATGTTTTGTTGTAGTGGTAGTGGTTCGTCAGGACGTCATATTGTTCGTCTGGAGTGTGGATGTAATCCTCTTCGGTAGGGGAGGCGCCCCAAGAGATGAGATTACCAGATGCTGGTAAGAGCATACTTAGCTCGTGAGTTAAAGCGTATCTATTGAAAATGTTGATAGTAGTGGTGCTTCCAACTTTGTGAAGTGCAACAAAGACGTACTTCCTCTTAGGACTGCACGTATCTGTTGCCTTTTCGGTTTCGTCTATGTTTTCTTGTTGGGCTCCTGCTGAAATACTGAAGTTATTGTCGTGTAAGTATGTTAAGATTAGATTTTTTATTGTCGAAAAAAAGATGCATGCTATAACATGAACATGCGGATAAACTAAGACTGAAATCTGATTGGTGATTGGTTTTTTGGATAGGGATGGTATTTTAGAAGAAGAGGTTTAGTAAGTCGAAGGTGTTGTCTCATACCACAATTTTACTGTGCAAAGCATTTGGTTTTTTTTTGTTTGCTTGAAGGCTTTGGGGTATGTTCTTGGGACTATTGTGAAAATGGAAAATCAATGTATGTTGCATTTAAAGAGAAACATGTAGCTTTTTGTAATGAAACATGATCGTACCAGAAATTATGTTTAAAACGATGTATGTAAAAGACTTTTGGAGCTGACCCATATGCGATTCTGTGTAGTTCTGAAACAAATGGAGTCTTAATATTGCTCAATTACAAATGTGTGATGTCCTTTTATATATATATATATATATGTAGTGTGTGTGTGTGTGTGTGTGTGTGTGTGTGTGTGTGTGTGTGTGTGTGTGTGTGTGTGTTACCATTGAAAGATCTATTTAACACCCACTTACCTATTAACTTTTAACTAGCTATCATACTAAACTACAAGCATACATACACACAAACAAACGCTATGAAGAACATTACTTTTTTCGCGAAGCTAATAACAGACATATGAGCCGTTAGATTTGTTACAAAGCTAAAAAAAATCCAGTGTAAAACCTTGAACAAATTTGACAAATAAGATATTAAGAGACAGAATTAGTATTCTGTTTTTACCTCTTTTGCATCTTGGCAGGTTGTGGTGGTTGTAGAATATCTTTTAGCACCCTTGTAGAAATATGGCCGAGTCCAAAGTAGGTGAGAATAACCATGGTCAAAATCGTAAACATCCATGTTTTCGGTTGTAGGTAGCACATGATGTTATAAACACTGGCGCTCCTAGATAAATTATATTACAAACCAATCATTGATACAGGCGACATCTGTTGAAGGTACATTGCGATATTTGGCAAATTTCTACGTTGCTAAGCCCTCAGCTATCCACACAACAACTTTCATTAGCACAATCCATACATGTGGAATAAACACAAAGTAACACACAGAGAGAGAGAGAAGGGAGAGAGAGAGAGAGAGACTATATTATACTTCTCTTGTAGGACATTATACTACTAGGAGAAAAAAAAATAACTTGAAGTGTTGCTAATATTGCTTTTCCTGGCTAGGCCAGGCTTTTCGACATCAATGCGCAATCACCTTATATCTTTTCCCAATGATGTTAACCACCAACGGTACACTTGTTTCTTATTATATCTTTTCGAAGAAGGAAAGCATATTGTTTTGGCTCTGCTTTCTCTTCCTTGAATAAGTTAAATGGCCTGGACCAAACGTCAATCCCATGTAGACAAGGTTCAGTGGTATCGTATGCTGTTACAAAATACGCAGCTACAAAAATATTCTGTTCCCGAAATTAAGGAAAAGATCGTCGATCAATGCGTTCGTTGAAAGAAGTATTGTGCATCTTAAATGGAAAGCTTATCGTCAGCAAATTGTGCTGTCTTTGTTGTGATGCCATGTCCAGTTAGGTCATTTATGCTAGGATTGAATCTAACTTTTTGTGCAAGTATTTCCACGCATAAAATAAAAGAAATACGTGATAGTGTCTAATACCTTAAAAATAAAGTCCCATCTTAATTTATCGAATGTATTTTAGAAATCTGCAACAAAAATCAAACCGGATCTTATGGTGTTGTATTTCTAGTATTCTACATACATGTAGTCCCTTGCTTACATCAGGCAGACAACCCATGATTTTTTGTAGAAAGACACGATGCTCTACAGAATGAATTAGGCGAACAACAGACTGAGCTGTATCCGTGGTTTATGTTTGTTTCTCGTCAGTAGTATGTTGTTAGGCCCGGTATAAGGTCAGGGGTCACCGCAATTACGCTAAGTGTATGCAGTTACATGCAGATATGTTCAAAATACAACAAGTGACTCATGGCATATGTGGTGACTGGTAAGTGACTCACAATACCTTCATATGCATATGATCATAAAGCAGTGATGCTTATACACCAATAATCCGCAATTATATCACTAATCCATGCAATACCACTGATCCAAATTCCCCATAACCCCTCTGTTATAACACATCAAGTGGTTTCGTCCCAACTATGCATACATGGCCCCCATCGATATATATGCCAATCAATTTCTTAATTATGCATGCACAATACATGATAGTTATTAATGCATCATATCATAATCGTTTAAACATTATATATTTATTATGGATGCATTGAAACTGTAATTGCATTTTGTTGACGTGCTCATCAGCTAGAATATTTACACAATTTTGCACACATCTGCAAGCAGCTGCATACGCTTAGCATATGGTGGTGATCCCTGACCCTCGACCGAGCCTGAATAATGGGGTTGAAACTGCTGACTACTCTCCTCTCTGCTTCAAAGTCTTCGCATTTGTACATGTATATATTCTTCTTCACTGCCATTCTTTCTTGAAACACATGCCTTCATCAGACACAATTTTTTAGTGTTACTTTGTGTAAACTTTAAAGTTGTTATGTTTAGCAAAAGAGTTATTGGCGTCTTGTCATTTTTAGGTAAATTGAAAGGAATGTCATAATTGGGACATTTGAAAGTTAAGTGAACTAGCATTCCTCGGTTCTTACAGCACTGATGCGACATACATTTACTATCAGATTCTTGTCTTTTGAACCATAATCAATCTGATCACACAGTTACTATAACATCAGTCTGATTTCTTACTGTACAACTTGTAATCGTTAAGTTTGAGAGACAATCGTATCATTATAATCAACAGGGTTCTCCTCAGCGCTGCACCCCAAGCCACATGGGGAGGGGCCAGTCATTCGCCATGTGCAGAAAACTAACTCAGTATGAACGATGTATTTTTTGGTTTTTTTTTCGGGAGCACGTACTTCCGGGTTGGCAGAAAACAGTCAATACAGTCAGCTTCCGCACACAGAAAATACGTGAAAACCAGAGTATACTCGGAAGCCGCATTACTAGGCTTAATCAGCACAGATATTTGATTTTTATCCCTGAGTTTGCTTAAAAATCAATAATAGTTTTGTACGTATCAAGGTACGCGTAAGCGGCGTTTACTTTACTTTCGCAATGTGCACGTTCGGTACCGTACGTTCGATGCCTTGCCCCCGCCACACGCTTCTGGCGGCCGGGTCAAGGGTTGCTTCCGGCCGTTCGTTCCGACACACCGCGAGTTCATATATAAACTTTTCGGCCGACTACAGTTTCAAACTAGAGTTTCATTACCTCACACCTTTGCAAAATCATGTTAATCTTTATGACTGACAAATTATAGATTATTCCCGCTGATTATGCAATTTGGATCCTCATTTCCATAAATTATTGTATTTAATATTTGATCATATTCTCCATCAAAATATAGTCTTATCTTAACAAAGAATGTCATTCTAGCATTTCCTCATAAATTATGCAAATAAAGTCATTATTTGAATAAGTAATGTTTAGTTATGTTCACCACTTAACTTTTAAATACCCTATGTATGAAATTTCAGGCATTTACCATTGCTGAATTACAACATTTTCTCATTGATTATGCAAATCAATTTCAATATCTGCATGTTTCTCTCGTTATCAATTGCATAGGCCACCAGCTTGAATATTCCTATCATTTAATGCAACTGATTTATAGAATTTCCTCAGAAAATATGCAAAAACATGATTGTGTCAGACATCACTTAAGCTACCTACATACAAAAAATCATGACTATCCGTCAACCGGTTGCTAAGTTATCCTCTTTTGAATATTATTAAACAAACTCCATCGAAGTTCCAGATCAAGCCGCCAGCCTGTCTAGGTCATGAAATATCAAAACCAGAAGTTCAGCTGCAGTATTATAAGAAGCAGCTAGGGGGTCCAAAATCTAATCATTTCCAGATCTCATGAAGACCTACCCAACTACAAAATATCAAGTCAATCCATTTGCGCATTTTCAAGTTATTGTGTTTACACACACACACACACACACACACACACACACACAAACACACACACACACAGACGAACGGTCCCTGACAACATAACCTTCTTGGCCAAGGTAATGAAGTTAATGCATGGTTTATTACGTGACAAACCTTTCTACAAACAAGTTCCGAGAACTCCATGACATATGGACTTGATATGTAAATGTAAATTTCTTCTTTAATTATGCAAATGACCTCTGCATTAACATAATATATGCATTGTGCTGTTAACTTTTGATTAACTTATACATGTCTCAAGTATGACATTCCCATCATTCACCATTAAGAAATCATAGAATTTTCGCATTAATTATGCAAATTAGGTCATCGTATTTAGTATTTGTTCCATCTGCCATAGGTTACATACAATACATGTATGAAAGTATTATGATGTAAAACACTGTAATTCTAGAATTTTCTCATTAATTATGCAAATAAAGTCCTCATTTGCATAATTTTATTTCATTATGTACATCTCTCTCTCCGCTACCTACCTATAAAAAATGATGAAAATACGTTGTTCCTATCTGGACTTATTGGCTTTCAAAGATTTCTCCCGAAGGTCCCCTGCAGTTCCAGCTCAAGCTGGTAGGGGGACCAAACCCACACCACTAATTCCTGACAGAAAAAGCTATCTGTCACCAAAAATTCAAGACCATAGCATGTTCAGGACCAAAGATACAAAAACCGGAAGTTCTGCTGCAGTCCCAAGGTCATCCACCAGGAGGCCCATATTAGACCTTGACCTTTGTCTTCCTAAGACTTACCAGCATACCAAATATCATCACAATCCATAAAGGCGTTGTGAAGTTATGCTGACTACAAATATGCGAAAACACACACACACACACACACAGACTCGCCAAAAACAATACCTCCATTTTTCATGGACGTAATGAATCCTTTCTCAATGGATTTGATTGTTAAAAGAACTACTACTGTCCGGAGAACCCGAAAAACAAACTCCTGAAGTGTGAAGCCAGGCGCTAAGACCTTACGGGCGTACTTCCCCGCCCCTAATTCACTTCCCTGCGTACTATTTATCGGTCCAACAGAGCCACTTGCTTTAACGAAGCGATGATCATACTGTACGCGGTATTGCATACGTTTCTTCTCAAATCTACGACATTGGTACGATCGTCGTAAAAACACTGTTATTGGTCGTAGACATATCGTATTACGGATTTAGGCTTCAATGCTTTAGGTAATTTTAGACAACGAATCGTGCTTACCTGCGGTGTTAAAGATCTTCCTTCGTCTCTAAATTGAGCCGTGTTCTTACCGTCCTGTTCACTGTTGTAGTGGCTCATGCTGAATACGTGTAACATCCTGGTATTGGTATATACTGATGTTATCTTGTACATTGTAACTCTGGAGCGCGCAAACAATACATCACGTTACCAGCTTCCTTTTAGTTGCTATGGAAACAAGAGTTCCGAGATCTCATACCTCCATGAAATATGGGCTTGATATGTAAATGTAAATTTCTTCTTTAATTACGCAAATGACCTCTGCATTAACATAATATATGCATCGTGATGTTAACTTTTGATTAACCGAAAGATGTCCCAAGTATGACATTCCCATCATTCACCATTGAGAAATCATAGATTTTTTGCATTAATTATGCAAATTAGGTCATCATTTGCATAATTAGTATCTGTTGATGTTCCATCTGCCATAGGTTACATACATTACATGTATGAAAGTTCTATAATGTAAAACACTGTAATTATAGAATTTCCTCATTAATTATGCAAATAAAGTCCTCATTTGCATAATTTGCAGTTTATTATGTACATCTTTCTGTCAGATAGCTACACACCAAAAATGATGAAAATACGCTGTTCCTATCTGGACTTATTGGCTTTCAAAGATTTCGCCCGAAAGTCCCCTGCAGTTCCTGAACAAGCTGCTAGGGGACCAAACCCACACCACTTATTCCTGACAGGAAAAGCTATCTGTCACCAAAAATTCAAGACCATAGCATGTTCAGGACCAAAGATACAAAAACCGGAAGTTCTGCTGCAGTACCAAGGTCATCCACCAGGAGGCCCATATTTGACCTTGACCTTTGTCTTCCTAAGACTTATCAGCATACCAAATATCATCACAATCCATAAAGGCGTTATGAAGTTATGCTGACAACAAAGTTGCGGAAACACACACAGACACACAGACACACAGACACACACACAGACACACAGACAGACGCCGCCAAAAACAATACCTCCATTTTTCATGGAGGTAACAAGTTGTCTAGCAACGGTTGCCATGTCAAGAATAGTTTGCAATGGGATATGTCATCACCCCGGTTATTTTCTGTACCCCGGAAGGTTTCTGGACGCAGAAGGAAACTGCAGGAACAAGCCCGAGTCCTTTATGGTATTTGGGGGAGGTAAGGGTCCAAGATAACATATACGTATTAAAACCACAGTAATGACTTAACATATAAGACAGTGGCAGTCTTACAATTCGGTCTTCTTTTTTCTAGGCCGACGCGTTTGTCTTGGAGATAGGATGGAGATCTTCTTGTTTTTTTTTCGACCCTGTGAAACAAACGGTCTTTCTGTGTGTGGCAGGGTTTGGGCTAACTTACGATTACAGTTACAGTTACAGATCTTACGGTACTTTAGACTCTCACTCTAAGGCACTTGTTAACTCGGACTCACTCTAAGCAACGCCAAACCCAGGTCGATTTATACTTGATGTGACTTTATTGTCTAACTGTGGTATAGCTATATATATAGTGTGCAAAGCAATGGAACATACAACGGATCTACAGTTACAGAGTTAAACACAATACTAAAAGTAGGAAAAGAGAACGGAAACCAATTACCTGTACAGTGTACCTGGAGGGAAAACTACCAGACTAAACTACTACTAACCTAAACCTGTGCGCTGGAACGGAGCTTCAGAGAGGCGAAGAACCCAGTTCTAGGGAGCGTCCCGCTATTTATACCGTACGCTGGAGGGCGGGGCTACATCTGCATGGCGGAGGCGTGGTCAGGCTTAGGCTTAGGCCAATGACACCTGCTGTAGTCGTTCATCTTCAGGACGCCAGAGGGCGCTCCTCGTCCAACCACTGACGGCGTCTCTGGTGTGACGCTGGCACCGCACCCGTTTAAACTTTGTGCGATGCCGCTTTAGTTTATTGTCTTCGCCAGAAGAGTATATATCTGGCTGTGTTCTTGGTCCATATGTAGATCATCGTTATAACGCAATTATTTTTCTGCGGATTTTTTTTTAATTTCTGGTGTTTCGGGTAGCTGTCGTCAAAATATACTTCGAGTTAAAAAAAATATACCATGTAAGCCTCCTCGACACACACGTGCGCGCGCGCACAGAGATTGATAAACACACCAGCACTAACGCGCTCACACTAACACACGCAAACAAACAAACACACACACACACACACAAAGAAAGAGAGAGAGAGATCAGTTTAAAACAGACACCAGAAAAATAAAACATTAATGAATAAAAGAAAAAATCAAATGCATTTGTAAACTTACCGGACGGTCCCTCTTCTAACAATATTTATGTTTCTATGCATCCTTTTCCTATTCATGTATCAAAATAATCTGGGTCCTCCCAGATGTCCCTCATCAGCATTTTAAGAGCGCCATGGTACGCTGTCTGAAAACGCTACAGCGCACCAACACTGTGTCTGATCCACAGCTGCGAACAATACATTGAACAACAATGAACGGGACATAAAAAGTATGCTTTTAACCTCCGTTGCACAATTACTGAATTTACAAATTAAAGAGTTAGCGTTGGTGTAGAGATGTCTTATTATCATCGGACAAATGATATAAATATGTAGGCTGCACACACATTACCATACATATAGTGCCCTGTATATGTACGATTTGGGGGTATATTTCTCGCCCGATGCATCCCAACGCAGCGAAACGCAACGAATGTGGAAGTAATTACCGGTAAGTAAGGTGATGGAACGTATTATGTTTTATCAGTTAATTCCAATGTTGAGAGGGTCGCTACACAAATTCCAACACGGGTTTATTGCCGGCCGTTCTATCACCACTCAACTTTAGTAAACTTACCATCAAGTTGGATCCATACTCGACAGGGGGGGGGGCAAGTTGATATGTTATTCTTGGACTTTGCCAAGGCGTTTGATTTGGTTTCACACATTTTGTAAATCCACAACCTTTAGCTGCTTGGTTTCGGTGGTAGCCTTCTTGCATGGTTCACCTCATACCTAACTGATCGTCATCAACGGGTGCTAGTACATGTGGAGGGCTGTCAGTCCAAATGGCTTTCGGTTACTTCGGGAGTTCCTCAGGGTTCCATTCTTGGACCATGTCTTTCCCACCTGTTTATTAATGGCTTGCCGTGTGAAGCAACCCAATCTACTGTAGCACTTTTCGCTATGACTCCAAATGTTTCAGAGATGTCAGCAATTTGAACGACTGTGTTAAACTGCAAGATGATATTACTGCTATGTACAATTATTGGAGTCTTAGGTGGAAGATGTCTTTTCATCCTTCCAAGTGTAAACTTATCCGTTTAACTCGCTCCAAGAGTCCGATTTTGTACTCATATCACATGTCTGACACCACCATAACATCTGTAGACAGTATGCCTGACCTTGGGGTCATTGTCCAGTCAGACCTGCAGTGGAACAGTCACATTTCAAAGATGGTAGCCAGGGCCAACTCCATGACTGGCTTTATCAAGCGAAAAATTGGTTTTAACACCAACATTGACGTCAGAAAGGCGCTGTATACCACATTGGTAAGAAGTATCTTAGAATACTGTTCTCCTTTGTGATCCCCTCAGTCCCACAAACTCATGTCCCTTGTGGAAGGTGTGGAGCGAAGGGCGACTAAATTCATTCTAGGAGCCCAATCAAACAACTTGACCTACAAGGAACGACTTAACACCTTAGGTCTGTTGCCTCATACACACAGGCGAGAGATTTGCGACATAATGGTCGTTGTTAAGACAAAACAAATTGTTCATAAGCATGTCTCCTTTCCATCCAGACCCTCAAGACACTTTAGATCTCTAGTTAGAGTTAGGACATCAGCCTTCAGCTCTTCCTATATACCACGGCTGGTCACTATCTGGAACAAGCTGAGTCCTGATCTCCGCAATACCGGTGCATTAGCCACTCAATAGCGTCAGTCATTAGCAACGGCTGGAAGACAGCTAGCTTTCAAATCCAACGAGAAATAACACAAGGAAGCCCATTAAAGGGCAAATCCAATACTTTAATTTTTGGGGCCTTTCCACCCAAAATCCTATTTGTAAATGGTGATTTATTGGTTTCTGCCAAACCCGCACATATTTGCGGTGATATCTGACATGCTCGATGTTCCCCGGCTAGCGCCCGATTGTCCGCTAATATAAGCGGCGCTGCGACTGGACCTGTGACGTCGGCGCTGGCGTAAACAATGGCGGGCACGTCTGGACCTAGCTGGATCGGCCGTGCAACCGTTCCGTTTTGAGTCACAGACAGCACAGGCGCCCCAGTTCTACTACTCCCGAAGTTTCACAACACATTCATATAGAGTCCCCCTGTTACACACTCACATTGGATAAGTTAGGGATATTGACACGGAGAAGGACTTCTTTGTGAGAGGCGTGAAGGAGGCGATTTATATCAGGGCCCATAAACGCTCTCTGAACCGTGATGGTGGCAGATTTCGTCTTCCCGCCGCTTTTGATGCACCACTGACGTCATCACGCTTCCGACTTCCGGAAAGTGATCAGCGATTGCGTCACACATCTGACGAAGGTTGCAGGGATCAACCGAAAATTTATGGTGAGTTCTTTCCTTGTTGGAACAAGCTTAAACTTTCTAACAACCGTCTAGGGTATTTGCTAAATCTATCTCTATACGAAATCCCAGGCAATTTTTCTCAGAAATCCCCCTGTACTTTTACAGAAAGCTTTATGGGAGGCGATCTTATGTCACAACATTGTGAACAAGAGAACTGTTTCTTCCTGAACATTGTGACAATAGCATGGCAGTTACACGACATATCAAGACCAGTAGTTCCGCTACATGCGCTAAAATATTTTGATATTATAAATTAGCAATACCCATTCACGGCCTTTTGAGTTCCGCGTTTATACTAAAAACACCCACATATGCGAACACAGTTTCCTATACAGGCAATCTCCAAGCAGACCCCTTTTAGTGGCAAAAAGACAGTATCAAATTGGCTAGGCAGTATCCATTCGCCAGATAAGGTCGCCGGCCACCAAATAACGGCCATACATAAAAAGCTAACGATCATTCCCCCACAACCTGTGCTTGGAGAGTGAT